CCCTTCACCCGCCTCCCTCAGGGCTGCCGTCTGTCCCGTGCTGTGGCGGGGCTCCTCCCGTGCGCCGGGCGCCGATTCCCACTTGGTTATGCACACCTCCTCCCAGCGTGGCCTCTCCTCCACTCACTCTTCTTGCGGGCTCCTCTGACCAACGCACAAGTCCCTTAACTTTAATGCACCAGAACCTACCAGCGCCTCCTCTGTCACCTGTGCTTCGTGACGCGAAGGAAGCCCTTCCCCACGCAGGGCCTCACAGAGTCCTCCGCGGCAACGTCCGCTCTCACACGTCCGGATTTGTGCCGTGACTCCTGCACGTGGCCCACCACACGATTCACTCTTGAGGGTCCAGAGCAGATGATGGATGTCAGAGCGCCACGCGCCCCGAGGCCGCGCAGAGCCACCGCTGTCAGGAGCGGAGTCTCCACGGTGTCCTCGCGGGGCCCCCTCTTCTGTTCTGCTGACCCACTCCGGTGTCCAGCCCCGCACCTTCTGGATGACCCGCACAGGTGCCACCACAACAGTCAACCCTGAAATCTGACACAGCAAACCCCAACCTCGATTTCCTTCTTCAGGAGTCTCTTGGCTGTTCTTGGCCCTCTGCTCTTCCATATTCATTTAAAAATCATCTTGTCAGGGGGAAAATACTCCAAAAAAGAAAACAATTCAAACCTTGTTGGAACTTTCACCAGAACTGCATTCAATCTCGGATCAACGTGAGGAAAATTACGTTACAGAGAGTCTTACGAAAATCATAGGATCTCTCACTGTTCACTTGTCTTCTCTCTCAGTGAAATCTAATCCTTTTCCCTCGGCGTTTTTATTTATTTTTAATTGAATACAGGTGACATACGACAGCACATTAGTTTCAGGTGTACTGTACGACTCGACTTTGCATGTCATGAAACAACCACCAGGAGAGGTCGAGTGACCGCCTGTCCCTGCAGTTACTACAGTATCACGGACCAAATTCCTTACTGCATCTTACACCCCCGTGGCTTATTTATTTTGACTGGATTGTACCTCTTTAATTTTCATCTATTTTGCCCGGCCCCCAGCCCCTCTGCAACCACCCATTTGTTCTCTGTATCTGAGTCTGTTTTTGTTTTGGTTTTTTTTAGATTCCATATGTTAAGTGTAACATACAGTATTTGTCTTACTCTGATTTACTTCGCTAAGCATAATACCTCTAGGCCCATCTGTGTCGTTGCAAATTGCAAGCTTTCATTTTTATGGCTGAGTAATATTCCATTATATATATTTTATACACACACACACACTACATCTTCTTTACCCATTCATCTATTGATGGGCATTGAGGCTGCATCCATGTCTTGGCTACTGTAAATAATGCAGTTATGAACATTAGGGTGCATATACAATTTTTAAAAATTTTGTCCTTTATTTTCATGAGGGATTTATACAACTTTTGTAAGTTATTCCTAGGGACTGGTATATTTTTAAAACTTCCATTTTCTATTTATTTACTGTTATGCAGAGAAACAACTTAATTTCATATACTAATTTTTATATCCAGCCATCTTGCTAAACTCTTAATAACTGAAATTCATCACACTTATTCTTATAGTAATTCTAACCACTCTTAATCCCAGTAAACTCTTTGGCATTCCATGTACATAATCACATCCCTTGTAAATGATGACGGTTAGTTCTCTCTAGTCCTTACACTTTTTCTCTCATCTTCCTGTCTTGCTGTGCTGGCTGGGACCACCAGTCCCAACAGAGAGCGGGGTGCAGACAGAGTCCCTGTCTTGCCCTTAAACATTTTATCATTAAATTGGGCTTTTTTCCGTTTAGAAGCTCTTCATCAGGTTATGGAAGTTCCCCATTATTCCAAATTTGCTAAGATTTGCAACAAATAGCTGGTGCAACTTATCAACCTGTTTCTGCCCCCCCATTAAAATGGTCACATGATTTTTCCCTCTGAGTCTGTTAAGATGGTACATTAAGTACATTTTCTGACGACTTGGTCCTTGCAAACAAAGTTTCTCATAATGTACTGTATCACGTCTTTATTTTTCTCCTTTCCATTTTGCAATTGTTTCTTTGCTCAAGGTTTTCGCATCTATGTTCCTAAGTGGGACTGGCCTGACACGTCTGTCTCACACTGCGTCTTCCGACTGGTTCTGGCGGTCAGCTTCCACCAGCCCATAAAATGAATGGAGATGCTCCCTTTTCCTATCCAGGACAGAGTTTGTGTAAAGTGTTGTCTCATGAATGCTTAGAATTTGCCAGGAAAGCTCTCTGGGGAGGATGTGGGGGTGACGGGGGGTGACTGACTCAGTTTCTTTCACAATTACAGGACTACCCCTATTTACAGATTTGCTCAGTTTTCTCTCTTGCTTTACCCACTTTATCCAAGTTTCCGGTTCTGTCAGCAGAGCTGACCCGACGCCTCCCGCCCTGCTGGGCCTCAGCAGCACCCGCCCCACACTCCGTCCGCCCCCACCGTCTGCCTCCCCTCTTTGTCCCTCAGATCTAGCCTCGCCTGACATGTCTCTTTTACTACCGTTTTCAAGGGCTGGCTTCCGTCTTTGCGGGTGTCCCGCCCCCTCGTGTTCTAACTCATTAACCTCTGTTCTCCTTGCTACTTCCTTCCTTCCACTGGGCCCGAAACCCAACGTGACCCCGTCCATCTGGCGCCGTTCCTCCTGATGAATGTAAACGTTAAAGCTACAAATCTCCCTCTTACTGTTGCTTCAACTGTCCCATATATTCTGATATTGAGACATTTACACTATTTTTTGGTTCTGAATATTTCTGATTGTCGTTATAATTCCTTACTTGACTCAAGAACGTGAACGTGGTTTTAAACGTCAGGTGTCTGGAGTTCCCTAGTTACTGTCTGGCTGCTGACTTCCCCTTGAGTGCACTGTGGTCAGACGTGGTCTGCGTGACCCGTCTGCAGACGTCTGCAGAGGCTCTTCTGCCGGGCACACCATCAGCTCGTGTGTGCTGCGTGTTACTGGCCCACAAGCCCACAGGCTGACAGATCGCGCTGCTCCAGTCTTCTCACGTCCTCAGCACTTCAGAAACGTGCTCCCAGCCGGCATCCCGCCCCCGGTCCTCTCCACCCCCTCCTGGGGGCGAAGCCCCATCCGGCTGCTCCTCAGGCTGACCCTATACTTGGCGTTTGTTGTGTGGCTGGAAATGTTTCCCCTCGTTCCTGAGGAATACCGTCCCTGGATGCAGAATTCCAGAGGGTGAGTTTTTTGTTGACGTTTCTCTCACCTTCATTCTTGGGAGGCGCACGTTCTCCTTGCAGGCGCTGACGACATCATCCTGCTGCCCCCAACACCTGTCCTCCCCACTGACCGTCCGCTGCTGGCCTGACTGCCGTCTCCTGCGAGGGCCGGTCTGTGCCGGGTGGTCTGAGATGTCCCCTCCCTGGTGTTCTCCACCTAACGATGTGTCTAGGTGTGGTTTCTTTAATGGTCCTGCCTAGGATTCACGAGGCTTCCTGGATCTGAGAAGCAGCACCAGGCCACAGTTCTTAAAAGCCCCCTATCATCTTTTCAAACATCAACTTCTCTGGAACTCCAGAAAGGTGTGCATCAGACGTCCTCATTCTGCCTCTGTGTGTCCTGGCCCGCTCCCCAGACACCTGAAGGGCACCCCACCGCCTGCTGCCTCGGCCTCCAAGGCCCCCTCTCTCCCCTGGCCCCAAGCCCACAACTCTCCTGAGGCCTCCAGAATCCCCTCTGATCTTTCACTCCCATCTTCCCTGTGTTCCCCCATGACTGGCACCGCTCTCCCTGTGCCCACTTCTGCCAGATGTGACACTGGTCCCAGCTGGAGTTGCCCTGGCTCTGCCCCCAACACAGCACCTCCGGGGTCCTCGGCTGTCCTCTGGACAGGAGGGGAGTGACAGGGTGGAAACTCACTGCGTCAGGGAGGGAGACGGACTGCAGTGAGAGGAGCCGCCGAGATGCCACAGAGAAGAAGCAGGACTCGGGCGTCACAGGGAGGCCTGGGACCTGGTGCCAGGCTGTTCCGGCTCCCGGGAAACCACAGGGAAGCCGGCACACCGTCCTCAGCCTGACCTTCCCTGGCAGAATCAGCCCCTCAGCAGCTCCCAGGCCCAGTCTGAGTGAAGCTGACCCCGCCCTGGAACAGGGAGGGTTTTCACCAGCTCAAGTCAACCTACAAAATTCCCCCGTCCCAACTCTCTACGTCTAAATCCCAGACTGGCACCGGAGCTGCAGAGAAATCCTCTCTGTCCTCTGGGCTGTGGGCGTCCGGTAGTGGGGCCTGGAACTTCTGAGGCCAGAGGGGAGAAGACAGGGGTCCACTGGGGGCTCTGTGGGGATCCCTCACTCCGTCTGCAGCACCTCTCAGCCCTAGAGTGCACCTCTGGAAGGTTCCGGGTAAATGTCTGACTCAGGCGCGCACACACATTCAGACAGAGCTGCCCTGAGTCTCCACAGTCTGCGAACCACCAATCCAGCATGGTTCACGCACCACACAGCTCGAGGGCCCCGGCGCATGGTTCTCAACTGTGGCCGCCTTCGGGGATCTCCTGCAGGGGCTGGTAAAATACAGGCACCCCACACGCTCCAGCACATCTTCTGAGGACACCCGGACTTGCAGAGGCTCCCCGAGTGGCCAGAACAGCAGCCAAGGTGCCTGAGAAGCACCTTGCTCCTGGGGTATTTGGGGCCCAGCCCAGCCCAGCCCTCCTGGGAGGCGAGGGCTCCTCGGACACAGACACCGGGTGCACAGGCCTCCCACAGACAGGCGGTCCTTGCAGCCACCTTGCTCGATCTGAGCTATGTTTGGCCAGCACGGCCTAGGCCGGGGCCTGCTCTGAGAGAGAAACACGGACACGGCGCCCATATCCAGCCCGGGGGCACCGGCAGCCAGCAGCCGGGGGTGGTCCTGAGGACAGGGTGACCACATCTCCCGGAGCAGGAATACCTGAGCCGTGCTTTCAAGAATAACCAGGAGTTCAGTCGGCAGAGAGCAGGACAGGACATAAAGTGCAGACCAGGCACTTAAAGGGGTCCAGGCTGCCCTGCCAAGACAGACAGTCCAGGAACTCCTACGCCACCCACCAGGCCTGGGCCTTGGGCGCCACCCTCCTGACGGCACACGGCACAGCACTCCGTCTCCCTCCACAGATGGCCCACAGATCTTGCAAGGCCCCCGTGCTCTGCCCACCGTGGCCTTGGAAGGCCCGGGCCAGGCCACACACCTGACAAATAAGCGCTTGCTGAGCGGATGAGGGGAGAGGAGGGCAGCACCAAGGGTGGAAAGGCCTCTTCGCATGGAGCATAGCGGCTGCCTCCTGCGCTGGGCGCATCCCGGGCCACACACACATGTTCCCAGGCACCGGGAGGCAGTCACATCGTGGGGCAGAGGGGGCCCCGGAAGCAGAGGCTGTGAGCCCTGCCCGCACCAGGTGGCCGCTCTGGGTCTGGCCGGTGCAGGAAATGCCCTGCTGACCCGGCGTGCTCCGGGTCCCCTCCTCCCAGCCTCAGCATTTCCCTCCGAGGCCCCTCAGCACGGGCTGGTAAAGGCAGGGCTTGCTACCAAGGGTGGCTTTCAAAACAGCGTTTCTTCCATCCAACTAATGGGACCTGGGAGGGGACTCTACAGTTTCTCATTTATGAACATGTTTCGGGGTGGGGGGCCGCAAACGCACACTAGCAAATTCTATCAGTAAACCCGGTCTGTGTCTCGGTCTGGAGCTGCTCCTTGGAAGAAGGAAGCAAGTTCACTGTTACCACGCTCCAGTGAACTTGGGAGCTGGTGCGAGGCCCCCCCCAGCAGAGCTGCTGACAGCAGAAGCTACAGCAGCAAACCTGCCTCCGTGGGTGACGGAGCTGCGCTGCCCAACGGATCTCCTGACGCCTGGAAATGCTCACCGTACGGGGCAAACAGAAGTATCCACGTCTGTACACAAAACTCCGCACAACGTGACCCCAGCTGTGTGAAACACACGTGCTGAGGGAAAGCTGACCAGTTTTAACACTGGCTCTCTCTCAATCTGGAATTTGAGGAGACTTCCAGGACATGAATGGCCACAGAGGCCTCAGCAACAGTCCAGGATGGCATGATAATTCCAGGACTGGGGGTCATGAGCACTGAGCCTGCCCCGATCTGCTGTGTGACCTCAGAGTAACGAACAGCCTCTCTGGGTTTGATGGTCTGCCTTCTCAAGTCACTGGTAAAAATGCCAAATGCATTAGAACCCTGGGTTGGGCAAGTAGCAAAAGATGGCGAAGTGGCAGTCCCCGGAGCACACACGGCCCCCGCCAGCCTCAGCCGTGTTCTTCATTTTTAAAATTCATTGCCAGCATTCAAAAATTTGATTTCAGAATGTCAGATTGCAATCTTCCCTTACTGCTAAATGGTTATACAAAACGTCGTCTATCTACAAAATAGATTACTATTTGACCATAAAAAGGAACAAAGTAGGGAACGCTGAAAACACGCTAAGTGAAGGTCACAGGGGCCACATGAGCTACGAGTCCACAACACACATGAAATGCCTGGAACAGGCACCTCCAGACACAGGAAGCGGACTGGTGCCAAGGGCTGGGCAGGGGCAGCTGCAAGTCATTAGGAAGGCGAATTGTACATTATGTGACCTTTGTCTCGATTTGAAAAACATGGAAGAAGCAGGGAGGATATAGTAGCTCAGTGGCAGGGCGTGTGCTTAATTAGCATGCACAAGGTCCTGGGTTCATCCCCAGTACCTCCATTAGACAGACAGACAGACAGACAGACAAACTTCATTACTCTTTCCCCCAAAACACCGCACATTCCCAGGAAATATAGAAAAAAACAAAATAAATTGGAAGAGAGGAACCACGTGGGCAGAACTCCATGTGATGCTCAGCTGCCTCTGAGGACCAGCGTCTCTCCCCAGCTGCACCCCTGCTTCTGGCCAGCTCCTGGTCTCCGCTGCCTGCCAGGGTGTGAGAGCCCCTGCCACTGGAGGTGGTCCTGCCCCACCAGCAGGAGACCCCCGGCTACCCCTGAAGGTCGGGAGCCTGGTCAACCAGTGCCCTTGGCTCCAGGGCACAGTCCCGTCCACCAGCCAAAGGAAGGGATGGGCAAACTTGTTCGCTTAAAAAATATGTATTTCCTCTCCCCTGATCAGGTAATACTTACCTCTGCTAAATGTGGTAAATAAGCCAAACAGCAAAAAAAAGGAGGAAGGAGGAGGAAGGAGGAAGGAGGAGGCGGAGGAAGGAGGGAGGAGGAGGGGAAGGGGAAGGAAAGGAAAGGAAAAGTTTAGGGGGAAAGGTCTGTCTCCCCCCTCACCTCAGCCCCCAAACCCCTCCCCAGAAGCAGCCAGAGACTCAGCGCTATTCGATCTCCTTGACCTCATCTGGCTCCTGGAGTGACACAAAATTTACATTCAAAGTTGCCAGACAGAAGGCCACAGCTGTGGCCAGTGGGGCTGAGAGCACCCAGGGGCCTCCCAGAGCCTGCAGGCCAAGCCCTGTGCCCAAGATGTCCATCCAAATTAAACAGGTGGCACCATACTCAGTTTCCAAACCTCCTTTCACAAGTTCTCTCACGCTGGGCATTAAACTGAACTTTAAAGCATCCACTTGGCGAGTGAACCGATTGACCGCTGCGTGACACAACAAAGAATCACAGTCAACACAGCTCCTCCTCGCCAGCAGTCACGTTAAGCACATCCTAATTTCCAGCTAACTGAGGCACCTTGATTTAGGTGTCTCACTCTGTGTACGATAGTTTCTTAACTTGGGGTGCAATTCTGAGGCTGAGGGTTGACAAGTGTCCCCAAAAAAGGACAAGCCATTTCGACATGTGCGGGAAGCAGAGAGTAAACGGACCAAAGCAGAAGCCGAGCATGTACCGCCGGCCAGCCGGGGGCCGCAGAGGCCTGGACACCCACCACCGTCAACCAGATCACTCCCACCTCTGCCACCCGCCCCGCAGTCCCTCCCTCAGCCAGCAGGAGGCAGGGGAGACGACGAGGGGGTCTTTACCGAACGATGGCCAGGGGTCCGAAGTGCTGGCTGCGGCTGCCGGCCCACCCCAGGGGTTGGTCTGGTTAGCTGAGGCGGATGGGCCCCAGGGCTCTGCCTTCTCCACAGCAGGGCCCGAGCCGGGCAGGGCGTCCATCAGATCCAACAGTGTGGGCTGCTGTGGGTGGGAGCCGTGCTGTGAGGCAGAGAGAAGGGGTCAAGCTGGCTTCCCTGCAGCTGCAGCAAACGCCCACATGCTTCCGCGCACGCTGCCCGGGCCTCTAACAGGGCAAAGGTCTGGGGAGGTCCCCGATGACCTCAGAAGCTGCGCCGCTCCCCTGCGAAGACAAGGCTCGCCCACACCGAGCTATTTCCTATGTGCCAAGTGACCTGCCCGCCGTCAACCAGTCCTCGGGGCTTCTCAGGGCAACATGGGCTCTGCTTCCCTCCAGGATGCTGCCCCCACCTGCCTGTGCCCCCTCAGGACCCCCTCCCAGGGCGGCCTCCCCACGCCGGGACCCCCTGCTCTGTGGGGCGGGGTCTACCTCCTGACAGGGTGACGAGTGCTGGAGGCAGAGCCATGTCGGTCTCCATTAGGCCCCAAAGCACGGGACATGTGCTCACGCAGCGACGGCCAGAGCCGGGGCAGGGAGCACTGCGGCTGCACGCAGCTCCGGGGAGGGCCACCCCCTCGGGGGACCATCCCAAGGAGCACTCACCTCTCTCTTTTTTGGAACTTTGACGGTGTCCCTGCGGCTTTCCTCCAGGGCCATCTGCAGCCTGAGGTCATCGCCCCGCCGGAGGCGCTCTTCCTGTGGATGACAATGACCTGGAAGCTCGTCGCCCCTCACTTCAGAGGAGGGCTGAAGACCACGCGGCTGTGCCCCCTCCGCCCCCGCCCCGTGTGGCTTCCACTTGCCTCCAGCCCCACCAGGGAGACGGGGGCACAGGCACCACCATATCACAGAAAGGAAATGCTTATTCTAAAATGACTTTTCTCAAAATGAAAATGGCTTTATGACTCTTCTGAACTAAAGAAGCAACATATCTCCTAATAAAACACAGAAGTCTGACAGCCCAGAAAGGACCTGGAAAGAGGGCAGAAATCACAGCACTCCAGCCCACTGTGCACACTTCAGAAAATGACTGTGTACTTACTTTTTATGATTTCTAGTAGAAGTAACTCATTATAGTTAACTTACACTTATTCAGGGCAAAGTCACCATACGCAAAAAGACTGGCCGTCCTAGCTTTCACAGAATGAGTAAATGTAAACCCCGTGACTGACTAAAACGGGCTCAGACCTCCCACCTGTCCCTGTGGCTGTGCCCTCGAGTGGGCACAGGGCCGCACGGAAGCTGTCCGCCGCTGTGGCCCTTCAGACTGCTCCAGTCAGAGCGAGGCGGACCACGCCGGGACGGACCCCCGCTCGCCCGCCCACGCCTGTCTGCACCACTGCTGGGGGGGGCTTGGGCCTCGCTCACTCCTCTGCCCCTTTTCACCAAAGGTCAGCAGGGCGGGCCTGAGAAGAGGTGGACCTGAGAAAGGCTGACACGCTGAAAGGTCATCTCAGTTGCTCCTTTCCCTCCTTTTCCATCTGGAAGTAACTCATGCTTATGAAGGAAAAACGGGAACTGAAAAAAATGAGAACTACACACACTTCCGCCATCTGCTATCAGCTCTCGTCTCCGGGGCATCTCCTTCTAGCCTTTGTGTTCAGATGCTCTTGGCCCACCCTCCGGGTGGGAGGACAGGACCACGGCCGCCTGCGGGCAGGGAGGGCTGTGCACACTTGGTCCAGAGCCAGGACACAAGGCTGAGTGCGGAGTGTTTCTGGGAAACACTTCTCACTGGCTCGTCCCCAGGCACCGACGGACGTCCTGAAAACCTTCCCTAAATGTGTATCTGCTGGGACCCTCCCTGACAGGGGCAGCGGGTGACAGGAACACCCTTTGCAGGGCATGCAAGCGTCCTCCCCATGATGCTCCGCCCCCCCACCCCCGCCCGGCGCGGACCGGCAACACTGACCTGCTCAGCCACCTCTCTGCTCATGGCCAGCGCCAGCTGCAGCTGCAGCTCCTCTTCTCCGCTCGTCTGTGGCCGGGCCTGCTCCAGCTCGGAGGACACCCGCGGGGAGGTGGCTGTGGGGGGAGGCCAAGTCACCACAGCACAGGACCCGCCACTAGCTGGTCAAACATACCTGCTCCCATCCCGCCCCTGCCCTGAGGGTCTGACCACAGCCCCCGACACGGGACACAGGTGGGGTGGAGGAGAGGTCTGCCAACATCCCCGTTAAAATCAAGTCACTGCACAGCGACAAGGCCACAGGCCAGGACAAGAGGCCCTCAGGCACCCGCCCCACAGTCAGGCCTCCAAGGACCAGATCCCGGTCTTAAACACTGCAGAGCTGCACTGCTTCGAAGAGAGGAACTGAGTTTTTAAAAGATTGAGAGTGTAGCTCTTGAAAAGCTGGACGGAAGATCGGCCGGAAGAGCACAGGCATCTGAGGACCACACACCCCTCTCCAGGCTCCCCGAGTCGGTGAGAGGCTCCCTCTGTCTCTCACGGCATAAGGATCATGGAAAACGAAGGCGAAACATTTCTGCAGTAATTCTGAATATTTCTGTTTTTTAGGTAAAACTGTACAGTGACTCGAAAATAAAAATATGTAGACTTTTTTTGCTTAAGTACTTAGCTAATGTAAACACTTGTAAGTAGCGCCTGGAATGACAGTTTTGAGAGAAAGGATGAGACATGAACTTTCAGCAGATGGAACAAACCCCAAAGCAAAGGGCTCGCACAGTCATGCTGTGGCCAGGCAGGGCCTCCCCGCAGTGAAAACACTGCGCTTCCACGGCCACCAGGCTCCCTGCGGCAGGGGCCCTCGATGCCAGCAGACTCAGACGTGAAGCTCTGGCAGCCGGAGCCAAAGGGTGTGCCCACCTCGCCCTCACCCAGGAGGGGGCCTGCAGCTCCTCTGAAATTCCCAAAGCAAGCTCTGCTGTCTGAAGAGGTGGTCAGGCCACATCTCAGCGCCCCGGCTTTCCTTCTGGGCCTCTGCGCTGCTCTCTCAGGCCCAGCTCAGCCTGCCTGCCCACTGCTGGGGCTGGCTCGGCACCCCCCAGCACCCCCTCAATCTGCAGCTTGGTAGGTCACATCCAAAGGTGCTCTCAAGGGAGGGCCTAGGCCTGCCCTCCCACCATTACATCCATCCCCAAAGTCTGGCAGAGCAGCTGACAAACGCCCACGGACGGCCGGATGCCTGCACGCACGGTCGCGTGGAGATAGACAGACGGGGACAGCCGGGTGCCTGCGTGCACGGTCGCATGGAGACAGACGGACGGAGGACCCCACTTTCTGGGTAGCTGTTGCAGACGCGCTGACTGCATCGTCCTTTAGCCCCAGCTTCCGTGCTATCCGTTCCAGCAAACCCAGCCCCCAGGGCTCAGCCAGATGCTGCTTCTGCCTGAACCTCCAACTAAACGTGCTTCTTAGGGTCTGCTCCTTTGGGAGGAAGTAAAAGCTAGGGAGTGATTCCTGTCATGGAGGCGTCTAGATGACTGGGCCCTGCGTGCAGTGAGTGAAACAGGAGAAGAATCGAGATAGAGTCGAGGAGGGACCCACAGAAGAACCGGGGTGGCAGCAGGGGCAGTGCACAGCGGGGGCTGTAACTGGCGTCACTTCATCCCATGATTCAGAAAAATCACACAAAACACACAGCAGTGAGATTTCATTTGGAACAATTATGTGGCCTGAAGTGCAGTGAGTTCGCTATGATTTATTGTCAACCAAAAGAACCATTGAAAAAAAAGCCAGCAACCTCACGTCTACACTAACGAACAGGTCAAACAAGAAAAAAACGCAGCAGTAATTTAAAAAAACAAACCACAAACATATTTTTCTAAATAAATCAAGTCAAACCCCAGTCCACTGCATCACCCCAGTTAGATTTTCCAAAGCATTTCTTTAGAAATGAAGCTAGATGGCAATGAGACACCCTCAAATCTATTTTAATAATTTGATTTCTTAATAATATACCAAAACAAAAGCACATGTTCTGTCGGTTCTATTCCCAGCCTTTACCTCTGCCCATCGCAGCTGGCAGTCTCCTCCTGCTCTGGGGGCAGCCACCACCCTGGCTGGTGGGAACAAAGGAAGCTGG